ATTCCTTTGTTCATTCATGCAATAAATATTTAGTGAGCATTTGGGAATTCCAGATCAACTAGACAATGTATTTCCTTCAAGATTCTTCTTCAGACCAATAAAAATAACTATAAAATGACCTTGGTGGGGATGGGTGGGTGGTAGTGGTGGTGGTGAGGCAAGAATGAGGTTGTTTGTTAGTCATTATCAGGGAGGGCCTACCTGAGGAGGCATCTGTACCTGGGCTTGGGCTCGACTGTGGGCAGAGGAAGACACCCGGCCTACCCGAATGCTCCCATCCATTCGTCCTCTGCATCGGCTGCAGGTCTGGCTCAGTTGAGAGCTGCATTCTTTGGCTGGGAGCACAGCAAGGTTTAGGTGGCTGATGTAGGAACCGAGGCCACAGACAACACTGACTTAACCTCTGCTCACTTGCCACAAGGCGCAACTTGAATGAAATGGCCAGCTTTCTTTCTAACCCTGCTGCAAACTGACCACTGCTTAGCTCATTCCTGAAAGATCCTTTGAAAAGTGGAATTCAGAGCTTTTGCATTTTCTCGTTTATCTGCAGAGTATGAAAATATTGTGGCAAATTTTGGGGTGGACTATTTGGAAGAAAAGACACACACAAAAAAGACAATGTATAGTTTTTATTTTTAAAAAAAGTTTAAATTTTTTCAATTATAGTTTTCATTCAGTTTTACTTTGTATTAGTTTCAGGCATACAGCATTATGGCTAGACAGTTAAGTAATTTATAAAGTGATCTCTCTGATAATTCAGTTACCCACCTGACACCATGCTTAGTTATTACAATATAGAGGCCTGGTGCATGAAATTCATGCACTGGGGGAGGGGTGTCCCTCAGCCTGGCCTGCGCCCTCTCGCAGTTTGGGACCCCTCGGGGGATGTCCACCTGCCGGCTTAGGCCCTATCCCCAGGGGATCCGGGATCCCTTGCTCCTTACCACCTGCCTGCTTGCTCCTTACTGCTTGGCTTGCCGCTCCTTAGCGCTGCTGTGGAGGCAGGAGAGGCTCCCACGCTGCACTCTCCAGCCGTGAGCCTGGCTTCTGGCTGAGTGGCCTCTCCCCCTGTGGGAGCGCACTAACCACCAGGGGGCAGCTCCTGTGTTGAGAATTTGCCCCTGGTGTCAGTGAGCATCATAGCGACTGATTGTTCTGGGTCGTTCCTCCTTAACGGTCGCTTAGGCTTTTATTATATAGATTATTGACTCTATTCCCTGTGCTCTACCTACATCCCCGGGACTATTTTGTAACTGCTAATCTGTCCTTCTCAACCCCTTCACCGTTTTCACCCAGTTCCTCAACCCTTCTCCCTTCTGGCAGCCACCACTCTGCTCTCTGTGCCAATGAGTCTGCTTCATTTCTGTTTGTTCATTTATTTTGTTCTTTCGATTCCACATTTAAGTGAAATCATATGGTGTTTGAAAAAAGACAGCATCTTTAAACCCAGATTTTCTTTGGATCAGTGTTCCCAAACAGCAAAATATTATCTATGTCCTTAAATGCAGAGACGTGGAAAGGGGTCATTCCCACTGACTTCAAAAATAATTAGATTTTTAAAAGACATAGAGTCTTTTCTTCACCGATGCTAGCTCTGGCTCTTTAGAGTTGAGAAATGCTTTTTAATCTATGATGAAACTATTGCCACCTTCATAGATACTCAGGATGTTATGAAAGAACAGTTTAAGTTTTCATCCCTGAATGTGAGACAAGTGATGAGCATGAGAAAAACAACAATTAGGCAGGTGTCTGCCCTACTATGTCCAAACCGGATGGGGCCCTGGAGCAAGGACCTTTCTGATTATCCTCATTCCAGGGCCGGGGACCACTGGCTTTGGGTCAGCAGCATCTGTCTCCTCTTCACTGTTACTGAACATAAAGCTGGTGGCCTCACGGGGCGGGGGGGAAGGGGATGAGGGGCCCGGTGACCCGCCATTCACACACAGATCACAGCAAGCAGCCGTGAAGAGAAATTTCAGCCGGCCGCCACATCTTCCCAGGCACTTGCATATAAGAGAGATCAAAATGAAAGGCACTGATAGCCAGCCGCAGGGAAACCTCATTCACTTTGATTCAAGTAACTCGATTCCCCAGCTTGGAGATAGGCTGGGGGCCAGCAGCTGGGCTAGTATTGATCACCTGTCTTCCCAGCGGTGGTGCAGCCCCTCACCCATGGTGTTGTGAGGAAGCTGGACCACTTAGCAGGAGCAGGGTAGCTTGGGAGATTAGTGCCGATCCTGGGAGGGGTGGGTGGGGGTTCACTGTGAATTATGCAGGTGAGTCAGGATTTTCAACATTTTGGAGTTCTTTTAAAAAAAAATATTTTTATTGCCCTAGCCAGTTTGGCTCAGTGGGTAGTGTCAGCCTGCAGACCAAAGGGTCCCGGGTTCAATTTTGAGGATATTTTTCTATTGGTCTTTTAGAGAGAGTGGATGAGAGAGGGAAAGCCAGAGAGAAACATCTATGTGAGAGGAACACATGGATTGCTTGTCCCCTTTGTTCCACAAAGCTCACTGCCATTTTTGCTGGCGCCCTGGTTTCTGACACTTGAATGGGCTCCACGTGAGCTCCCTCTGGCCACCTCGCTCTTGTTTACTTGAAGAGCCTGCTCTTCCTTCTCTTTCGGGCCTTGCATACAGCATCTTCCTCTTGCCCCTCCATCCACTTGCTGGTTTACTGCATTGGACTAGTGTTATGTTTTGAAGTTGTCTTGTGTATGTGTTATAATATAGATGAGTTGTAAGACATTCAGTAGCATTTATTTGGACACTGCTGCCTTTTTGGGAACTGAAAGCGATGGGCTAATGTGAATGGAGTGCTCACTAAGCGGTAGGCACCCCACATGTTACGCGTTACATAGGTGCTCCCTGGACTTGAATGCAAATCTCTGTCACCTGGGGGTCTTGTTAAAAGGTAGGTTCTGATACATTTGCTCTGGGCAGGGCCCTGGAGCTCCTGGGTGAAAAGGCTGGGCCCCAGACTGCATTCTGAATAGCAAGACACTGTAGCATTCGATGCTGGCCACACTATGAGGTAACTGTTATTTTCCATTTTCCATACGTTGGGAGCTGAAGGTTAGAGGACTGAGATGATTTTCCCAAGACCATGTTGCCAGAAACAGAGCTTGGACTCCAACCTAAGGCTGCCTCCTGGGATAGTGAATGTTATCTGGGGTTGGAAATGCCCTACAGCACCCACGGGTGTTCTGAGGCGACTGGAAACAGAATTGGTATGTTTAGTTAACTGTTTCTTTTGTTTTTGTTGATCCTCACTTGAGGATATATATATATATATATTTTTAGAGCGAGTGGAAGGGAGGGGGAGCGGTAGAGAGAGAAACATTGATGTGAGAGACAGCCATTGGTTGCCTCCTGCACGCACTAACCGGGATTGGGGATCCAGCCAGCAACTGAGGTACATGCCCTTGGCCAGAATTGAACCTGCGACCCTTCAATCCGCGGATGGACACTCAATCCACTGAGCCAAACCGGCTAGGGCAACTGTTTCTTGTTTTATGAAGCGTCTTTTCCAGTTTAATTCCTCTTTATGCAGCATCTTGTGTTACATGGTGATTCAGATGTGTTGGATTTTGTTTCTGAAGATGAGATGTAGAGTTAGGGTGATGCGTTGGCTAGAATTCTAGTTTAGAAAACACCGTGTCACAGGCTTAGTCTGGACTGAGCACAAGCGGAAATGGATCGGGAAGGTGGGGGTGGGGGGAGGAAATCCTCGGCGACTGGTACTTGAACACCGGGGGCACTCAGTGTGCCACCTCGTCACAGGCCCGTGGAGGAGGCAGTCCCTGCCCACAGATCAGACACTTTTAAAAATAACATTTGACCTGCTTATAAAATTCATGTTTTGTAATAAAAAAATGGGAACTGCAGTCATGTAATCATAAAACATCTGAAATCCAACTAGCAGGGTTTCCTATTTTACTTTTCTTTTCATCTTTTGAAAGACCTCGCCTTTAAATGTAAAAGGCGGAGGACCACATGTACACAGCACAGCAAGAGTTCAACGTGGCGATTGCTTGCCATAAATAAATTAAACACTATTTTTGGTTTTGAGGGGCAGCGGGAGTAAAAGGGGCAGCTTTAAGACTCCCCCCTCCCCCCAGGATTTAAGAAATGCCAGTGCGCAGCTTCTGGAGGCCTGTTCCAACTTCCACCCGGGGTCCCAAGCTGGGCGCACCCCCGCAGCTGGGGGCCGATGCTAATTACTCTCGGACCAGATCCCGGGTCACCGGCGCATGCGCAGTGTGGCCGCCGGGCTCCGTGGGCGTCGCAGGCCTATTTCTCTGGGGCAGGTTCTGTGCGGTCAGCACAAGGGCCGGGACCGCGACCGGGAGCAGTGCTGCACCTGAGCAGGGAAACAGCATCTCTCAGTGGCAGTCACCTCGCGGCCGAATAGGCCCTGGGGCTGGGGGCGGGTTTCCGCAGGCGTGTGTACATACACATACACACACACACACACACACACACACGTTTACGGTGCCAAAAACATCCTCACGCGCTCGTAACCCCGAGGAGGAGCGATTACGGGCTGGGAGAGAAATGTAGGGGCCAGAACGAGGAGGGTGAGGGGTGCCCATCTCTCAAACTTTCAGCGCTGCGTCCTCCAGATGCTCTGCGCCCCGTTTGCGTGTCTCTGGTGGGGGCGGTCCGGGTGCCCCAATTCCTCCTTTGCTCTTCGCAGACTCTTTACGGAA